ACCCTTATTAAAATATAATTAAGGAAATAACCAACCACCACCATGATAACAGTTAAGGGTAACACAACAAAAGTCTTAAAAGTTAAAACCAAAGAAAACAATTAAAATAAATAACTTGAGTTCACAACCTCAAAACTAAACTAATTTTAAAACCCAACTACAATTCAAAACCAATATGGCCCATTAAAACCAAATACTCAAACGTAAGTAACCAAACAAAGTTAGTCCAATGATAAATCAAAAATAATCCAAAAGCATAAATAAGTCTATAAAAGCATAACAAGTAACTCTCAACACTCGTCCCATCATGGTCTTCATGCTTCAAATACCTATAACTTTCACTTTATTTCAACCTCACTACTCACCGTTAAATGGGTCATTATAAGACCAATATAAAGAAAAGCCAAATACAAACAACAAAGTACATATCAGCAAAAGTTGAGTACATATGCACCTATAAAACTAGCACACTAGCATGATAGTTTTAACAATAAATAAATAAATAAAACATGCTCGCCCATTTAAATCACAAGTCAACTTACCTTTGACTCATAACTAGAAATAATTATTATAATTTGCTTTGTACAACGCATTGAACGAGTTTCCTTCCTTACCTATCCTTTATAATATAAGGGAACCCTCACTTGGGTGTTAACCAAGTTAATACCCTTTAGTGTCACTAGTGTGATAGAATTCTAGCGCATAAATAATAATAAAATAAAGTACTACATCTTGTACCCCCGTAAAAGCTATGGTTAAATATAAAAACTCCATAACTCCCCCCATGTGTTTATACTCAACGTATACACGTTTCAAGAGTTTTAGTGCGTATCCTCTTACACTTTACGTGATTTACATATCTAACATGTGATGAATCCAACCAATCAATCAAGAACACAATATAATAAAAACAACACATAATCAAATTAATTCTTTAATTAATTAGTGAGAACATATAATTTATTTTATTTAAGGTTCCTTGCCTAAATTTGTGCATAAAATTGCATGATTTCTACATTGGTACATATAATGGATTTACAAACCTTCCTTGACTCAATCTCAACTTACGTGAGTGAGTAAATTAAATAAATAGATATTACTTGACTCAACACCATTACAAGATAGGTGATAAATAAAATCATGAATCATGCTTAATAATTATAAGTTTAGCTTCTTTATACATACATAAGTCTTGCTTAATAATTTCATGCTTCTTTAATACTTGAAAATAAAAGTCATTAACATAATTTATACATATTCCAACTTGTATTATGATTCCAATAACATATTGACATGCTTGCATATAATTCATGGAACATTCAACAACAATTCCAGTATCAATCCAACCAAACATGTTAGTAATCCAATACTTGATGATGCAGAAATAAAGTCCTAGCATGATATTACGCATACACAATTTGTTCAGTGCGCATACGTACTTTGAATATTGCATTAACTTGGCCACACTCACTATAATTCACTTAACTACTTCTTACAAATTTAAATATATAACAAAAATTAATTCACTACTCGTATAAATTTCCAGCAACCTTTAAATAATTTAAACCTCACTATTCAACCCAGATTTTTGGTTTAAAAACTTTAAATTCTTCTCTTCAAGTGGGTACTTAAAACTCCTTCAAGAAAACTCAATTTAAATGATTATAATAAATTTCAAGCACACTTTTTAATATAAAAACATCATTAATAGAAAATCATATTTAAACCATAAAAAAGTGTGTCCTCTTGATGGGTAATCAAACCCAAATTAACATAATAAATAAAGAGTAGTGTGTGTAATTAATTTCCAACATTAAGGGACTTAGAACCTCTCAAAATCTTGTTCTATTAATCAATTTTACCATGAAACTAATCTTGAACCAAATTCCCAATTTCTAAGGTTTGTCAATTAGGGATTTTTAATCCAAATTAAGGCCTTGTTCGCTACCAACTTATTTTTGCTAAATTGGAATTATTTCTGCTTAACTTAAATTATTTTTCCTAAAATGAAGTTAAATTTGGTAAACTGAAATAATTTTTGCGGATTCTCTGTTATATTTTTTTTAGAGCTACTGATTTTTGCTGAAATGAAATTAATTTTACTGAACTAAATTATTTTTACTGAACTAAAATTACTTTTACTGAAAATTATTTTTTAAGGTAACCTGAACACGGGCCTAAATTCAAAAATTTCAACAATAATACCAACCATCTTTATTCATAAACATCATCAATACATAATTAAAATCATGCTTTAAAATCAAATCAACAAGCTTTAATAATTAAACAGGTGAAGAATAAGGGTTTTTTACCAACACCAAAGTGGAGAGAAAAGGGAGGAAGAGGCATCGGCCGCTCGATGGTTGTGAATGTGAGGAGAGAAAGATAGGCATGGGAGAAAGAGAAAATAAAAGAGAAATAAAAATAAAATAGAGAGAGAAAAATAGAGAGGAAAATAAATTTGAGGTTTTGTGAAGTTTTAGCAATAAAAACATGTGTAGAAAAAACTTGTGGCTTTGGAGTTTATATACCCCTTTTAAAGATCAGAAATTAATTATTCACAATCAAACGATTAATGAAATCTTACTCCGTTCTACCTGTCCTTTTAGGCCTCCTTTTTGGGCCTTTAAAATATCTTCTTTTTAAAACAGACTAACCCAACATTTAATTGCCCCAACTAATTCCTTCAATTAAATTATACACACATAAAATGACTTTTAAAATTAATTTTATAAAATATAAAATACATAATTCTTGAATTATAAATTATAAAATATAAATTATTTATATAAAATATGCTAAAAATATGAGGTATTTCAGTCCCGGCCGTGGCATCTAGGTTTTTCAAAGGGCAACATGCCCACACTCATGTAGCCTCCCCTGCTGCACCAATTTATCTAAGCAGGGCAACCGAGTCACCCACTATGTGCCCACTGTAAGTTTTTAAACTTCATTTGAAGCTTCTTGCTGTGCATACACCACCCTCATTCCCACGATCGGTACCCACGGCCATGGTCAATGCTCTAGTGTCGACAGATAAAAATATCTACCCAAATAAAGTCCGATGACGAAACAACCTTCATTGCCTATTTGGTTCGATTCGCGTAATGGATCGAAGAATTACTTGAATAGTCGTTTGGTTGTAGTCCACAATCATTTTCTAAGCCATTTTAGCCATTTCAATAACTCAAACCTTTTTCTTAGCCCAAAAGCCATAAGCCTTAGTTTAATTTTCTCTTTTCATAACTACAGCTCAAAATCGAGTAAATCTGATTTTTGTGCCTCATAATTTTATCCAATGATATATCTTAACCCCAATAACGATTCGAAACTAAATTGATATGATCAAAGTACTGAACCCGGTCCAAAGCCAACACTGTTGCATTATTTCGATCATATATCAAATTCTACATAAGATATTAATCTGATTTTGATTGGGTTGGAATTAATAATTAGACTTTTAGAGATTTTCAACGATGTATTATAATCTTATTTCAAGTTTTGTATCAAAAGGATAAGTTAGATAAAAATAAAAACTGCAAGATTGTTGACTCGCGTTTCAAAATTCTATTCCCTTTTGAAATCCTATCATCTTCCGATATTTAAGTCTATAATACCACCCTTACTTTCTTATTTTGAGGAGGCAAATTCGACATTCCAACAACTATTTTTTCAATCCCATACGACCCAAAAGACTTAGATGTAAAGCTTTGACGTACAATTTCTCTGGTGCTTGACTTTATTTCCAATCCTATTCAAGTAATTCAAAGTCAAAAAAAAGATCCGAATGTTCTACAATTTTTACTAAGGCGTGAAAGGTAAATCCCGAGGGTGATATCAATTTTTCTAACTCTTTGATTTAATTGTTTTGATTTATTATTTTTATTGAAGCTACTAACAATTTAATAATGATGTAACGTTGTATTCCAAGTTGCATAATAATGAATAAGAGTGAGTACTAAGTTCTATCAGTTTATTTACCCTAATTTGTTTTAGGGAAATTCCAATTGGTAAACCTCTATAATTGGCTTTTCTCATTTATACATTGTTAAGTTTTTATCTTCCCCCTAATACACCTCTACTTTATGCTTCTTTCCACCTCTATAATTGATTGTGAAATCTTTCTCTTTTTTTTTTTCTTTTTTTTTTTTTTTTTTTTTTTTGTCTTTTTTGAGTGGTATTTTGAAATAAATTTTATGTGAGCAATAACTTCAAAAAGTGGCTTTTTGTGGGTGGTAAAATACAAATTAACCTAAAAATAATAAAAATGTCCTTTTCTAACAAGCAAATTAAATAAATCAAAATATTATATAGTCTAATTAAGAAAAAATTTATGTACTCTGTATAAAAAATTCGTGCATCGCACATAATTTCATTTAATTATGTATGTATAATTTTGGTATTCTCATCCTCGTGAATTCAACACGTATTTGGTAGTGATACTACATATTATACACCGTGCACTTGAGGTATTAGTTTTTTTCATACAAGTTTTTTTGCAATGTTCACGAATTAGGTTCACATTTTAACTTCACATGTTATTAATTTTGATAAATTTCAATTAATTTTGATCGATTTCTTGAGTTAAGTCAATTTTTAAAAACTCTATAGTATGAAGGATGTGTTTTTAATTCACCTGATTTTTATGCATGTGAACTAATTTAAATTTATTAGATCTTATTAAAACTTATTTTAATTGTAATTTGAACTTAAGTAATCTTTATCAAAAAAATTTATTTATTTTTCATGAATGAAACTTATCTGAATTTAACTGAACTTATATAAATTTATTATATTTAAAATAAGTGAAAATAAGATGAATAAAATAGACCATAAGTCTATACCGTCAGAAGGCAAAAAGTTAAAAGAAAAAGGGGAATGCTAGTAAGAAAAAACGTTAGCCGGGAAACGCGGCCATATGCCGCATCTTTAATTCCCCGTCACAAGTTTTCCGAAAATGACACAGGTATTATTAAAAGGGTCTTTTCATATTATCATCTTTGAACTTTGATGATGATGAGGTTGCAAGGATACAAGAGGGAAGCAGCAACAAATTAAAATATTTATCTAGTTGCAGAAATTTGACCCAATTTGATACTTCGTGATAAATTAACCAACTGATATTCTAACCCAATTATTAATTTTTGATTATCTTACTTTTTTTTTAAAATTCTCTCTCTCTAGATCACCCGGTTTGCGTGCACTATTAGAGCTGTTTCTTACCAAAAAGTCAGCGCAGTTCTCTCTCTCCCCTTTTTCTCTTTTGCTCTCATATTTTTTCTTCTTTTCATTTTTTCTACTAATATTATTCCTTCTGCTTAACATTAAGCTTATTAGCTATAATTTGCTTCATCTTAAGTTTATGTGTGTTAGTAATTCATTTTTGTCAAGATATGGATAACTTTTTAGGGGATCTAGCTGATATAGTTCGAGCTAGCGGAGGTATCGGCGTAATCAACCACAATACAACCACAACTGCTACCACAAGTGATCGATTTGGTTTATCGAACCAAGACTCGTACCGGTTAATAAGAAATGATGCTTATTCATTCCCTGCAGACACCCTACTCCGCAATATCGATGCTATATCAACATCGTCGACTAGTTTCCTCGACAACATGGGAGTCGATGACGAGGGTCAAGGTGGTGGACGGTTAGCTAGTGGCGCGGATGGACAAGCGCAACAAGTTATGGGACCGTCGCAGACACCGGGTATTATCAACAACGGTTTATGTAATATATTCTCTTCTAATAATATGGTTCAGATCTTATCAGATAGTAATAATACTAGTCATAAAGTTATTGATAATAACGGTAATAACTGCAGTAGAAGTAATAATAATGATGGGAAACTTCCATTACTACCTGCAGCAGCAGCAGCCTCGCCTAATGTTGTAAAGGCGGCTGCTGCGGCGGGTTATGGATTCATGTCTAACCAATTGATAAGCATGAATAATGCTAGCTGTAGTAGCAGCCATAAGGGTGCGTTCGTTGACAGCTCTACAACCACCGCCGCTGTACAACAGTTGCAGATCCCGTCTCCGCGAAATCATGGTATCAAAAGAAGGTTAGATTATTTTAATCTAATTTCCTTTTTTTGTTTATTTAGAAGAAATTTTAATCTAGTTTCTTGCATCAAAATTATTTCTTTTTTATTTTATGTATTCCGTACTTAATACTCCATTAAATTTCTATTTAATTACAAGAAAGTAAATTTCATTAAGAAATTAAAGAATTAAATATGTATTCGATTTCTTTTGTTTTGACTTTTTTTTTTGTTGAGAGATAAACACCATCCTAACAGTAAGAGCTTTTAAAAACGAAGGTAGTATTATCAACCCTACTCTTCTACTCCTACTCCATATGATGAGGCCTTTTTTATGTTTTGTCGATGTCTACTAGCTTAGCTATACGCCTCCCCAGCTAGTGGCATATTATGTAGTCATGTACTTATGCACTATCAGTTCGGTGTCAGAGATGTAAACATTAACACTGCTAAAATTAGTTATGCACACATTTTTTAAAAATTATATTAAATTCTAAATACCCCCAAATATAGCCATAATACCAAAGGAGAAGGGTTATAATTTAAAGTTCTTTTTTTACACAAATTTTAAATAAAAGTTCTTATGTCTCAAATGATGAATGTTTCTGTTATAAAATCACGAATTAAATGTAGTACTTGTATAATAAATTTTTAAATGTAACTAAACTTTATAATAAAAGAGAGAAAAAAAATTAAAATAATTAAAATTAAACTTGCCCCATAAATAATATACATGAAGAATGTATTCGTATAGTCGTATATACTTTGTACAGAATAAATAAGATAAATACTGATAATGTATGGACAGGAAAATACAAGCTAAGAAAGTGGTGTGTATACCAGCACCAGCACCAGCAAACAGCAGGCAAACAGGAGAAGTGGTACCTTCTGATCTTTGGGCATGGAGAAAATATGGTCAAAAACCCATCAAAGGTTCTCCTTATCCTAGGTAAATTATATATTTCTCTACTTCGTTAAACATATTTATGTAGAAGCTCAATTTAATTAGTTTCACATGCATTTCCAACTAATACTACATGAAGTATCATACTATAATTAATTACAATCTTATGGATTCAAGATCATTAATATAAAATAGAATTTGGTCTAATTACTACGTACATATACAATTATATGTTACAGGGTAGTTGTATTGAGCAACTTTAATTTAGTTGAATTGGTACCGGTTTTATTTTGTGGTTCTCAATATATAAATAGAAACGACAACCCTTATTTAATAGAGTACATACAAACCTTTTTTAGGGGTTACGTACCCTATAGTATAGGTTCATTGCAACATTAAATCAATTATTGATACATTCCATTATTATTGTGTATCTTTAAGTATAGATGTCAAATAAATCTAAAGGAGACACAAACACTTCTTATTTCTCAAGGTTTACGTTAAAATCTAGAATGTGTGCCTTTTGTTTTAATACTCCACTTTCTTAGTACTCAACTTGGTGATTGAACAAATAATATTTTGTAAGTTAATAGAGATATTTAATGGCTTAAGAAATATCTTCATTCTTTAATTTTAGACCAATATTTTACTAATTGAGGTAAAAGTATAAGAACCTACCAATTATAGGTACCATGCTATATTATGCTAAAATATTTCTTTGCTAAAATCAAGGTTGACTCGTTTGTAAGTATTTATTACTCTAAATGTTGTATTCGATACGCAAACCAATCTTATACAAGTGTATTGTAAATTTATGGATAATTATTGAGAATTTTGTGTTTCGATTTCTTATTATTAGTTATCTATGCAATATTCTTTCCGTTCCTATTTCTTACTTTCAATTCAGAATCGTTCCTGAAATTAGTTACTGTATCAATTTTTTTTTTTTTTTTTTTTTTTTTTTTTTTTTTTTTTTTTTTTTATAACGTACTTATATTTTATTTCTTACTTTGGTGAGTATTTTTTCTTAATTTCGATACTCTTTTCACAAATTCTTGATTAATGCAGATTTTCATTAAGTCATTGTAAAAGGGATATAGCTGCCCTAAAAATATTTAAAGTTACTCTTTTTTACTACAAAAGTTACATTTTTATAACAAAAATTTTACCCTTAAAAAATATTTATAATGTATTAGATTAATTACATTAGCCTTCACAGCATGTAATTATTAGAAATCACATATTAATATATAATCAAAATGATAAAAATTAAAAGTTACCCTTAATGGTTAAAATTACCATAAAAATCATTAAAGTTACTCTTAAATTGACTGTCTTACAATAAAATTAACATAAGCCCGCCTTACACAAGATTTATTGTACTCTTTTAGAGTCTTAAGAAACTTTCATTGTTTAACACATTTAATTGCACATTCTCTCCCAAATAAACAAAAAGGCCCCTGTATACACTCTATATCCTCATTTTTTTTTCCAATTACGTGTTGTTGTAGAAGATGAAGAATTAGAGTTAGCCTTGTTCACTTTAGCTTATTTTTGCTGAACTAAAATTATATTTACTGTATTTAAGTTATTTTTGATGAACTTAAATTATTTTTACTGAACATAAATTATTTTTGTTGAACAAAAATTATTTTTACTGATTCTCTATTATATTTTTTTTAAAGTTGCTCATTTTTACTAAAGTGAAATTATTTTTGCTGAATTGAAATTATTTTTGCTAACCTGAACTTAGTTTTACTGAACTGAAATTATTTTTACTTTATATTATTTTTTAAGGTTAAGTGAATAGGGACTTAATATTAAACTATAATACTATTTTTTTAAAAAATTGCAAGAACGTATTCTCTTAACCTTATTTTAGCTTAACTTAAATTATTTTTACTGAACTGAAATTATTTTTATAGAACTTAAATTATTTTTAATGAGCTAAAATTTATTTTATTTCACTTAAAATAATTTTACTAATTCTCTATTATATATCTTCTTTAAAATTTTTGACTTTTACCAAGTTGAAATCATTTTTATTGAATTGCTTATTTTTACTGAACTAAAATTATTTTTGCTAAAGTAAAATTATTTTTACAAACTAAAATTATTTCAATTGAACTAAACTGAAATTATTTTGGCTTAATATTTTTTGTAAGGTAAAGAGAACTGAGCCTAAATCAAAACTAATTTGACTATACAATTAATTGAAGATAAAATACTTCATATGTTTTAACTAATTGATCATAAAAATTAAGAATGCTAATTTATCGAAAGGATAATTTGTAGATGAAGTAATTCTAATTATTTAAAATCTTTTGAAAGCTATAGATGAAAATACTAGGCTACTAACATTAATTAGTACATCCACTTATCCTTGAAATTCCTCTTATATCCAGTTGACATGTTTGTCAATGGACATTTTAAATTGTTAATATATCTAATTCCATGTAAATAATAAGATTAAAATTTTGTATTCTATAAGGAATAATTGAGACAAATCAACATATCATGTTTTTCGTATGTATGTATTGAAAACAAATTTAGAATATTATCTTAAGTCGTGAATAGTTTATAAATTCTAAATGGAGATAACCTTTAGGACGGATCAGAGTATAACTTTTTCTTTAGGGAGATACTTAATGCGATAACAATGATTACTACTTAAGTTTCATATTATGTGCAACAAATGTTTTTATATGGCCTCCTAAATGGAGAGAGAATTATAGAGATAAATGCGATGATGAGTAAAAAATAAAGAGAAATGACAACTAAAAAAAAAAAAAGGGATCTTTTGCCAAAATAGCTACTTTAACATAAATATTTACCAAAATGACTATTTTTAAAATGTAATTCCCAAACTAGCTATAATATTGACTAAATAATGCAAAAGATATGGAATATTATTCTTTTTCCTCATTTAGTCATTTGAACTGGTTTTGCAGAAGAATTTTATTTTATTTTTTCTTAAAAAAAATTCACTATTGAATATAATCGATCAATTTTATTTGGAATTAGGTTTAACCTTCCCACTCTGCCACCAGTTTTCAATTGATCCAATACCCTCTTTTTAATCTTTGATTAAAGCTAGGTGTTTCTCATCATTCTATAATTTATAATTATGTATACTGTATTGTTTATTTTGTTTTAATTGCATATTTGATTGAGTAAAAAACTGATTTTTTGCATATGTATTTGTTGGTTACGTAGCTGTAGATGATGAATACATTCAAAGAGCGTGCTTTAATTAAACCTTATAAAAAAAATTACTCCGTATTATTCTGTTAATTTAGTACAAAAGATCATTTGATTGCATATTATAATTATCCAAGATAGGTGAAGATCATATTTCATATAAGACTTTGAAGCTTATCAACGTAGCGAACTTCATTTGGGTATTTCATCAAATACCCTTACGTGCAAGAGTATGTAGTAGGTTTGATTAAAAATAAAATAAAACAAAACAAAACAAAACAAAAAAAAAATGGTTCAATTGGTAAAACACAAATTTCCAAAATTTATAAATGATTAAATGGTAATGCATTATTTAGTCAATGTTATAGCTAGTTTTTTCCTCAAAAAAAAATGTTATAGCTAGTTTGGGAATTACATTTTAAAAATATCCATTTTGGTAAATATTTTGACTAAAATAGCTATTTTGGCAAAAGATTCAAATTTTTTTTTGCACATAATATGAAACAGTGGTTTTCAAATATGAAACAGGGTATAGAGTATGATAATAGATTTACAATAACCGCAAAATATATACACTCCTCTTAAAACGTCCAAGCTAATCCTTTGCAAAAAGAGCTTTATTTCCCCTCTAAAAGTAGGAATTCACACGTGAAAATTTTGTTCGTAGTTAAAGACGCACTTTAGTTGAATAATGTCGTCTCTAGTTTAGTAAAATTTCTATAGCACTGAGAGAGCTTTTTTTTTTTGTTTTTTTTTTTTTTTTTTTTTTTTAGTACCATTACTTTTTTTAGATTATTAAAAAATTATGATTCTTATATGGTTGTATAGTTGTATTATGATTCTCACCAAAAAAAAAAATTGTTGTATTATGATTCTTCATTTTATTAATAACTAGTTAATAAAAATTGAATCCCGCACATATAGATATTACACCAAACTTTTATTAATGAGATAAGGATTTGAATACAATAAATCACATGTTCGAGTTCCCCTTTATTTATAAATTAAATAAAGAAGTGTACGTAGTATGTGCATGTAGTGATAAACAATTTAATAGGTTAACTTTTAACACCTTAACTAATTAGTTTAGTATATATGCATGCTTTAGAAAGGAATAAAAGACATATTAGATGATAGTATGATACAAAATGAATTGAATCCTAAGTTATGATTACCAACTTACCACCCTTAAAAATTTAATTAATTAAATTAGCTAGCAAATCAAGTCGTCTTAACAATATGCATTATTCATCTTTTGACATGAATTTCTTGTTGGAATTTTGACAGGGGCTATTATAGATGTAGTAGTTCAAAAGGATGTTCAGCAAGAAAACAAGTAGAACGAAGTCGAACAGATCCTAATATGCTAGTCATAACATACACATCGGAGCACAATCATCCTTGGCCAACCCAAAGAAACGCTTTAGCAGGCTCAACTAGGTCATCTCAACCGGCCTCGAAAACCTCTTCTAAGGCATCATCACCACCCTCGCAAAAACCGAGCAACAACAAATTCCGTAACATACTCATCAAGGAAGAGAATGAAAATGTTTCAACAACCGCGACAACTTTTTCTACGGTCAAAGAAGAAGAGATCAAACTCTACGATGACCGGCTAGACAGTAACAAGGTGGACGAAATAATTGAAAGTTATCGTCCACTTATCTTGCCGGAACCAAAGACTAATAATGGCCGTCACCAACAAGCTGATCAAGATTTTTTCGCCGATTTAGTTGAGTTCGAGAGTGATGATCCTCTAGAGATATTTGGTACTCAAGGGTGCAAAGGGTTTGATTCTTTTAGTGGTCTTTTTGATTGGGCAACAAACAACAACACACCTACAAATGAAGAAAATAATGATCATACAACATCATCTTTGGACCAAGAAAAGTTCAAAAGGTGATGTTTGACACTTCTTTGATTAATTATCCATAATCATATATATAATTTTTTTTCTTTTTTTTTTTGTGTATTTAAAGTGTCATCATGCACATTTGGTTCAATAAAAAACTTTGTATATCAACTAATGGTGGTTAATCATAGAACTATAAGCTAGAGAAATAAAGATGATTAGGATTATTCATTTGAATGGGTAAAATGGGCCTTCATACAAATTGGTTCCATAATATTTGACCATTTTTGATGTAAAGTGGTATTATTGTCGTGGTCTTGAACAATTTTATACAACCACTTACGATAATTTTGTATATAGAATATGTGTATGATGATTCTTTTTCTTTTTCATTTTAGCTCGTAAACATATATTGCATTTGTTCTTATCGAAGATTTTTTAGTACTCTGTAATAGTTAATTTTTTTTTTTTTTTTGAAACCCTGTAATAGTTAAATTAAGTGCCTTTAAAAAGAAAATTCAACCAAATTTATTTTAAATTGTTAGCCACCTAAATGTATTTTGCGGATTGCCATAATGCGGTTGATCTCTAACAATAGTCTAAATCATTAACATAACTGTTCTTGTCAGTTGTATGTTAAAAACCATTAATTCTCGTTGGTTCTTTTTAGACCATCTATTGGTACATAATTTTGTACCAACATTAAATACAAATGTACCAACGAAATATAGTATCTTCTGCTACTCTAATGACTAGAGTCCTGGCAAAGGCTTCGTCTAATATTGGTGCTTTTGAGTTAGGCCATGTTTAATTTAGTTCTCATTAAGTTTACTTATTTGACAAAAAATAAATTCGTACCAGATTAGAAAAAAAATGTTATGATGCAGTTTATCGTTTTGTGTGCGTTATTTTATCGCTATATATATCTTTAATATCATAATGATACACATTATTACGAATTTAACAAGACCTCACTTGATATATTTTTTATTTATAAATCATCATACACATAAGGTCAAAATTTGGTCAAATCGGACAATTACATCAGATCACACCAGATCAGATTAGATTAGACCAAATCAAATAACAAAAATAAGGTGAACTAAATAAGCCCTTACTCTGAAGTTTTTGTGTGTCTATTTATGACGGACATAAGTTTTTATGTGATTTCAATTGACTTCATTCTTAGCTTATTCTGTGAAAGTTAACAGTAACCTTTTTTTATTTTTTTTTTGTTTTGTTTTTTTGGAGGGATAGCACCATTTTTGGATTTCTATGTACATGTATATTGATTAATGTGTTGTATTATCAGTTAAAATATGTATTTAATTAATAACATCTTACAGTTATAATAATAGAAAATTAATTAAAGATAACGGTCAAAGTTAATTTTGACTGTAAATATCTAGACAAATCTAACAAGAGAAGGTCGTATTGTGTACGATTGGACTCATGGTAAGATGGATATTAGCTAATTTATTGGATAATTCATAACTTTTAGGGAAATTATCTTTGGTACGTACTCACAAGTTTTTTAATTTTCTCTTTGATGAACAACTAAAATTTCAATTATATTTGGTAATCCTAGATTTTTAATATAAGTTAACCATAACATTAATAATAAATTTTTATTAAAATATTTAACTATGGTTAGTTTTTTAATTTAATTTTTTAATAATTAAATTATTTTAAATATAATTTAAAATAAAACAACCACCATCCTTCCCCTACTAGCCCAGCACCCACCCGCACCCCAACCCGCCTAGCCCCTATTGCCAGCATCGGCCGCGCAGAGACCCTCTACCCCAGAGCCGGCACCGCCCTTTCCCAACCCATTGTCGTTACCCCTCCCCCTTCCTCCTGAACCACGAACTCCCCTTCCTCGAAACCCCCTAAAACTTGTCAAAAAAAAAAAAAAAAAAAAAAAAAAAAAACTAAAACCAAGCCACAAATTGCATTAAATCGACGAATAAAAATTCTTTGATTTTCACCTTGATAATCAAGAATAACAAGCAAACTTGAAGAATCAAAAGAAGAGTATAGTGTTTTAAAATTTTGCTACTCTTCAAATTGTTTGTGATTAATCAATGAATTAGGGGATAGGATTTAATCTGAAATAAGAACTATTAATTGAAGATTTGAAGAAGGAATATCAATCTAAATTCTCTTTGAGTAGCGACAACAAAGAAGCAGATCAAAAATCTCAGGGGTTTTAGGGGATTTTGGTGGGTCAGGGACGGAGGGGGTTCAAGAGGAAGGGGAGGGATGACGACAGGATGTAGGGATAGGGGTGGTGTCGGCGCTTGAGGAGGGGGATCTGGGTGCGGCTGGCGCCGGGGGCGGGGGTGGCTTGGCTACGGGAGCTGGGGTGGTGGTTTTTTTCAAAAAGAAAAAAAAAATATTTATTTTAAAAATAATTTAACTATTAAAAAAAAAAACTAACCCTATTTAAAGAATTTAACTAAAATATATCATTAATGTTATGATTAATTTATTCTTATAATTCATGACTACCAACGATAATTGAAATTTTTGTTATTCACCAAAAAGAAAATTAAAAAAAAACTTGTGAGTACGAAAGAGAATTTTCCTAATTTTTATCATATGTTAATGTAAAAATTCTTTTGACTAATTAACATGATTAAAGTTAAAATTTTTGGCTGAATAAGGTATATACGATATTTAATTTGGGATGGATCAAAGGGACAAATCTATACATCATCCATTTTTCTAAGTTCTACTCACATTCTGTTTCATTCGTTTTTTAATTTTTACTCATTTTTACTTTATTCCTATTGTAACAACCTTTTATTTCTTTATTTTTGTCATATACAACCCGTGTGAGACTCAATTATATTTAATAAAACTTATATTCTATATCTCTCCTCCTTAAAGCAAAATCACTCACATACATGATCCATTTTTCCAATTTTTATTGATTTGCGTAGCTACATTAACTTAGTACTCGTAAGATTTACGAAAATAAAGGGAATAAAAAGTAAATATCCTACTATTAATACGATAAATTTGAAATACCACTTTTATCAGATTAAAATTCTAATTAACAATTCCAAAACCCAACTACCCACTTCTAGAACAAAAATGAAAGATAAAGAATATAAGAAGCAATTATAAAAGCAATGAGTTGACTTCTTTTAGCAGTATACAAGTATTTCTTAATCACTATGACAAAAACTAACTTCAGTTGGCAACCAATTAAAAATTAAAATAAGAAAAGTTAAGCCATAAAATGATACGCATCAAATAAAATAAAATTAGCAAGTGAATAAAAAAAAATTGAAAAACCCCGCCACTCAATCACGTCGAAGCCCAAGAGATTCCTTTATGGAAGTCATTGAAAGATGGGACAGAAAGCGGAGAAACAGAACGCTTCTACAGTTTAAATAAGTAATTATTGTCAGAATGTACAGTTTTGATGCGACATCATCACTTGATTTACTGTTGGTTCAATTGGTATATTATACATACACGGTGAGGTATATACTACCTCCGTTTTTTTCTTACGTGCAACTTTTGTCATTTTAGTCCATTCACTATTATGTGCAACTTTCTTTTTTCATTCTATTTTGGGTAAACAAAAATCCTTTAAATTACTATATTACCCTTTATTAAAAATTAAAACTTTTTTACATTTACCCCTTATTACCCATAAACCCCCACTTAACTCAAATCACCTAAATTATCCTAACCTAATTAGTCCCTCCATTTATGCCCCAACCGACACAACTCTCCATCTTCCCAACCACCTTAATAAACTGATCTAGAGAGTTCTTTAGAACCCTAGATCTGGTTGTTCGTGTTCTTTGTGTTCTTCGTCTTCTTTGTGTCCTTCGCCTTCCTCTGTTGTTCGCCTCCTTCCTCTCCATTCCACCTCATGACATCTCCCTTTCCCTCCCCTTTCCAACGACATCCAAAGTCCCAAATTTCCATGGTTGACCTAGATCCACTCGTTGACGCCTATATTGGCACCGACGACAACAGTGAGGCTAAGTTTATCAAGTCCCTGATTAACGATTTAAACAGAGGTGATGATTTTCCTCGTCGCCTGTACACGCATGAAGATGGGCCAAGCTACTGTTCTCCGACCACATTCAAGGCTTTGGGGGAAGTTTTTAAAAACATTGATGAGGCGGAGAAGAAGAACAAGGATGAGGGTGAAGGCGAGTCCCATGGAAAAAAAAGCTTGATTTTGATGTCGTTTCTGTAGATCTGGAGTCCCAAAGTGGGGAGGTCAGTGCTGCGCCCACCCCCAAGCCCCGACCCAAGGCTTCCAGGCCTCCGCCGAAGAAAAGGCAACGTAGGAAGGCGGTGTTGGTGGCGCTGAGCCGTATGCATGGTTTGCCGGTCTCCGACTTCGTGGTGCTGTCCTCTGATGAGGAGGCTGAGCGCTGACGCTTGCGTAATGATTTCTAACCCTAATATTCTTAATTTTTTTAAAAAAAAATAGTCCTAATTTTTGTTGGGTTGATCTATGCTAGATACTTTGTTTGTTGTTGTGGGAATGTTTGATTGGATCTAGTTGCATGTTGGGTTGTTGGTTATGTTAAATCTGGGGGTTTAATTGTTTGTTGTGTTGTTCTATTCTGGATACTAGGGTTTGCTGTTGTGGGAATGTTTAACTGGATCTGGTTGCATGTTGGGTTGTTGGTCATGTTAAATATGGGGGTTTAATTGTTTGTTCTGTTGATCTACTCTGGATACTAGAGTTTGCTGTTGTGGGAATGTTTGACTGGATGTGGTTGCATGTTAGGTTGTTGGTCATGTTTAATCTGGGGGTTTAATTGTTTGTTCTGTTGATCTATGCTGGATACTAGGGTTTGTTGAGGAAATTTCTGTCACCCTGGATACTAGGGTTTGTTGAGTGTTTTAATTAATGTTGTATCTATTGCATTTTCTGTTGTTTTGTTGGAATAATGTTGGATGTTTGATGTTGGCTTCTGGTTGATGTTGCCTGTGTGGAGTTCATTGTGTGGTTGTTCCTTGGGATAGACTATGCTGGCTGTGTGGACTTGATTGATGAATGATGAGGCTGGTCTCTTGTGCATGTTCATTGTTGCCTAATCAGTCCCTTAAAAGGAGTCCCCTGTGATTAGCTTGTGTTTCCTGGTTTGTATTGAGTCCCATAGTTTGATATGCTATTTAGCTTACCCATATCCACATGATGAAGGGACTCCATTGAATTTCACTATGCACAAGTGAATTGCTCCATCAACATGCATAATGCTGTTGTTGTTGAGGTACCCTTGTGCATATGTGTAGTATTCAACAATGACACTATAACCCTCTGATGGATTGAGTGCCCACATAAATTGTCTATCTTTGTTATTCATATTCCATTAAAAATGTGGGTAAAAAAGACAATACCTTTGACTAATGAACATAAAACATTACAAAAGACCACATCATAATCTAAAGACATTATAATAGACTGCCTTACTTGTTTCGATAATTGTAATGAACAAAATACACCTAACCACTTGATTCTTCAACAATTTTTTGAAAAAACAAAAAAAGAAACTTACTAGGAGAAGTGGTTATGTGTGGCAGTCCATGTGTTGTCTTGTTCTTGTAATGAGTCCCCTAATCTACATCCACCTCCAAATCTTCTGTGACTTCTTCAGTGCCCTGATTTGCTGGCTTAAACATAGTGTTTAGGTACTCCACAGCCTCGAATACTACCTCTTTCTGGACCTCTACCAAATCTGGAAGATTGCCAAAGTTTTCCAGCCTTTTTTTGTTCATATGCGGTATTTTGTACTTGTTACCACCTTCTTCCTTGAGTATCTTAATCATGCATTTTTGCAATGTAACCCAGATGTACTTGTTAACATGGGGGTTGAATGTGTCATAAGACTGTTTGACCTTTTCAACCAGCTCCTCTAAGTCCCTAGGAAAAGATTGATATTGCAAAGATTGTATAGACCTAAAAAGCCCTAAGTCAAGGACATTCAAATCAGGTGACTGTGCTGGCTGAAAAACAAATTGAATGTTAAAGCCATTAGCTATTGTTGCTGCCAGAAACTCATCATCTGTAGGAACTTGGTGAGGCCTTGCATTGTCCCATTGGATGACCACATCCTTGGGCAGACCTTCAGGCCATTTTGACATGATTGCTGGAATGACCTTTGTTAGCATCATCTCTCTGGTAACTTCTCTGTTTATGTTCTGGAGTGCCTTTGTTTCCATAGTCCCTCTTGCTCTTTTCATACTTGACTTCTGTGCTACTTGCTGGATAGTGAATGGGAAGATGCCATACTTCCCATCATGTAACATATCTCCATTTGTGCCATATAATGGCTTCCCTATAATTGCCATGAACATTTCCTTGAGCTTGAATCTCTTGACTGAACTGCCATGTAAGGATCCTCCTCACTTGGCAGTAGATAAAACCTCTTTTTATCAGGGTTCAAGTAGAACCACTTCTCATCATAGTGTATGACATTCCTCATCAACAAATGTGGGGTCCTCATTCCCTCTAATTGGATTTATATGTGACAAAATCTATCTTAGTCTGGCAACCTTATGGTCTGCTGTCAGCAATGGTTTGTTGCAGCATGTGTGTGTTCTTAGCCTTCTTCTCTTCTTCAAATTGTGAACTGTACTAAGACTGATCTTCAATGCTCCTGCATAGCTCCTTTTTGTCTACCTTAAATGTATTGGGACTGACTGGAGGGTCTCATCAGAAATTTGTAATGGCTTTCTCCTTGTTTTGCCATATTTTTTAGTCCTGACATCAATCAAGTCCCCTATTGACAGCTGCCTTTTTATGTCTGTGAAGATTCTTGTGATTGTTGATTTGTGAACATTGAATTCAGATGATAATTTCTTCATGTGAACCCTTGGAAAAGTCCCATTGTTCATTTTCACCAAAAGTGCATCAACAATTTTCCTTCTTTGCTGCAAAGTTAGTTGCTTTTTGCATACACTATGAGTCCCTTCATCAGCTTGCTGTTGCATTTGTGTATGTTCAAAATCAGTGTCTATGTGTTGTTGCTGTTGTTGTTCTTCTTGGTTACCTTCCATGGTTTCATCTTCTGAATCGTACTCCCAAATGCATGCATCCTGTATCTCTTCTTCTTCATCGAACCACAACTCTGCCATCTGTTCTTCATTTAGAATGTGTTCGATATAAAAAAAAAACAGAATCACCATTTTCTGCCATGTCTATTTTATTTGCCAGCACAGGAAGATGGAGTGAGGGGCCTGCTGATTTTTTGGGTTGAAGATGAAGACTAAACTCAGTTGTGCAGTATTGACAGCAGTGCAACCCTTTTTTTGTAAAGTTGTTAACAGATTAGGTAGTTTGTAATTAAACTAACCGTATTGGTTAAGGTAGGATGCTGTAATTTTTTGGGGAATGAACTCTGTTTTTGCTGGTGTGTGTAACCCAGCTTCAAACATTAATGGTTGTATTTAATGTGTGACAATGGAGGATGCTAAAATTCCCTCCTTAAATGCTGAATTCTGAAATTTAATGGTGGGTGGGCTGCTTATATAGCCCCCTAATTTTTTTGAAAACAATTGAGTTTGGCAGGCTTTTTTAAAAAACTGGGGGGAAACAAAAATTTCAACCCAAAAAACCATCCTTCAAATTTTCGGTGGTTTTTTTGGGGGGAAATACCCCACTTGCATTTTCTCCAATAATTTCCCACCAAAATTAATTGTGGGTGGCCACACTTTCTCTCTCCTCCCCCTTTAATTAAACCTACTTACTTTTCCTAAACTTTACCCTTCAATCTTTTGCTTCGTGAACCGTGAAAAGGCCCAAAGTTGTACATAAAAAAAAACGGAGGTAGTATAATACTCTCTAGGATCATTATCTACAAACCCAGACTTGCTTGAGTTATACTCCCTCTGTATTTTTTGCATATCAATGTAAAATTTTGACTAATAATATCTTTAATTATCACTAACAATAAACTATAACAATTGAGTATTAATAATCTAATTATTGAGACGATTCTAACAAGCAAGTACTCGCAAGACTATATTTTTTCTTATGTATAATTCATAAACATTGGCTAAAGTAAGTCTAATGAATAGTGACAAAATCCAAATAGAGCACTTACAAAAATGGAGGGAATAAGAGTTTCAATTTTAATAGAGCGTCTTATTCTTACTTACTTCATTTTTTTTAATAAATGCGTCATTTGGTGATGCACGGAGTTTTAGGAGAGTAATATAATATTGTGAGTGTGTGAATAATTTATTATAATAAAAGTAAGATGGAACCATGAAAGAGAAAGTATGTGAGAGGGAAGATATTTTTATTATTTAAGTGGGGACCATGGGAGAGAGAGAAATGATAAAATTATTTAAGTGGGGTTTAAAGTAAGAGAGAAAAATTATAAAATACAGACTTATTTTACATCTTTGTCTATTCCTAGAATTGACTCGACGTTCGACGGGCGGTTTCGACGCTCTAAGCTCATAATTCGACATTTGAGTATGTAATATCTTTATTGACGTATTTAACCCTTCGGATTAATTCGTCGCCTTAGTTCGATTACACGATTGGGTGTCACCCATTGGGTTCAGTCAACAAGCCGTAAGATTAATTATATTAATCTTAATGATCGAAAGTGGCCTCTAGCTAGACATTCCGATCACTTGACTTCATTGAATAATTAGCTTCCCTAATTAATTTCGAACCCTCTATCAGAATAATACACTTGTTTGAAGGATACTATTCATTTCAATAAGGTCATCAATCTCAACTTACAAGTGATACATCTCCAAGTCTAACCTAAGATCTTTTTTCTTTAGAAGAACTCGTTGTTGGAAGACCTAGGATACTTTCTGAGAAATTTCTGAGACCATCGAAGGAGGAAAAGATGATCTTGTCTGAGATAATTCAACAGCACATGCCTGACAAGCGATAGACAAATCCTCCCATGCAACAAGATCATTAGCCATAGTAGACGAACTTGGGCAATCAGTTGTAAAAATAGCTTAGTCTGCATGCTTGGCACCGTCTGCAATTCTACTCTCTCACAAAGAGTTAGAACTTTTTCAAGGAGTTTGACCTCTTGAGACGTAGGTACTGGGGCATAACCAATAACAAGTGTTAGTTAAAATGAAAGACTCAATAAGCATGATAACAAATAAAGTTATAATGCTTACATTCATCTGACGCTTGACCTTTGGATAATTTTCTCTTCCCAACCTCCTTATCATAAGGTGCCATCGCTGAAACACTATATGGCACATTAAATATAGAAGAAAAAGGACATGAAAAGAGGATTTGAATATGGTTACTCACTAAATTCTGAAGATGTACCTTTCCCTGTGTGAGCTTCTTCTCAAAGACTTGACTCTGTAGCATTGGAAGCTTTATGGGCAATCTGAGGCTCAGTATCCCTAACCTGAACATTTGTAGCGTTGTCTTCCGCAACCACAGGGATAGAATTTGTGGTCTTTGGCTTAGCTTCATCATGAACCTCTACTGTTTGGTCTTAAACAATAACAGAAGGTTATTTTGGCTCAAGCGATGGTTCTGAAGTTAGGTTAGGCATAAGATTCTTGTTTCCTTATTCAACTTCATCTTGAGTATCTGTCACCTTGGCTGGAGCAACCATAGAAGGTTAATTTGGTTCAAGTGATAGCCTTGAAGCTGGAGTTGATAGGTTAGGAGAAAGGAGGGCATCAGTGCTAACTTTAGCATCGACAGATTGAGAGGCTTTTTTGCTAAGATGGAAGCAGGATATGTAGGTTGATTTGATTAAAATGAAGAAGTGGAAGCTGGTTTTGGAGCAGGAACTTCAAGGTTTGATTGGTAAAGGCCTGATTGATCGCCCACTTTATCTTTGGTACTTAAAGTTACAAGACCACTACCATATGGTAGATCATTTCCCATTGGCTGATTATGTGAAGCCGAATCAACACCCTGGCTCTTGCATGAGTCAACATTACCCTTTCTCTTTTCTTATTAGGCATTTGATATGTTGGAGAAGAGGGTGCAGGATCATGAGGGGGTGACTTATCTAATGACAACAAGCTTGAATCAGCAGTTTTCTCTAAGAGATTTTGATGGTTTGTTGTATTAATTAATTATTCTTCACCACTTGCAATTGAAACAGGGTCGGAAGGTGTGGTCTTCTCTGAAGATTTTTATTTCTAGGCTAATGCTGGGAGCTAGACTTAATATGAAGGAAGTTAAAGTGAGTAACAAGATGCAAAAAACTTAGACAAGTTACAACTAATGCACTTAATGGTAAGAGCGATATCAGTAGTTTCTAGCTCTAATTATGTCTTTAATGCATATTGTGCTCTTGTTCAAGGACTTAACATGGGGATTTTCCTATGCTTGTTACTCTTTGACTTTTGTAAGGAACCCGGATTTGAAAGAGAGATAATTTTTCTCAATCTAACTCTATTAGTGCGGGAATAGATAATACTTTGTGAGAGTCATCTATGGCATTAGGTAGATAATTAAAGTCTGTTGCTATCTTAGATAAACAGTTAATCTAATGTTGAGCAGTCTTGCCCTTCATGTTGATTGAAGAGACAATGGTATTCTTCTTACCTGAAAAGTAGTTTGTAAGTAAAAATGAAAAAAGTAATTGGATAAAACATTGAGAAGGAACCATACCCTTATAGTTGCCCACACTCATAGAAAAGTGTGCCTTGGCATCTTCAACTTTAGAACCTTAAAGTGGTCCATGATACTAGAGACATTTACTTTTGGTCCCCTTCCCTGACCGGAAGTGCTATGACGATAAATAATTCCATCTTTGTGCTAGATTGGAGTAAGGAATTCTTATGGACTACTGATTAAGGCCTAAACACATAAAACTAACTAACTTGACCCAAACAAAATGAACCAAAGCTTATTAATACTAAGCCCGATCAGATGTTAGGACTAATCCCGAGATTAAACCTAATTTTAACGGACTTTGAAGCGCCTAGGTTAAAATCTAGGGCTACCGCAGGAAAAACCGCGCGCAACTCACAAGATTGTGCGTGACATCCAGCGCTACCCCTAGAGATGCGCTTGCGGAAGATTCAGAATTTCAAAAATATACTGAATCGAATCTTACCATAAAGCCACGTGCAAAACCATAGGTTGCGCTGCCTCTAGTAGTGCCACCAAATCATTTAAGCGCAGTAGTCCCGCGTAACCTCCTGAGTTGCGCGCGCCACCTGCTGCGGCCAAACGTCCGAAACCCTAAACTCACCCATTCCCTATAAATAGAGGTTCAATACGAGCTTTGAGCACACATAAATTAGCCTAAAAAGTCAGAAGTAACTTTGTGAACTTATGCAATAATCATCCCTCTTGTCCTAAACACTCACCCTTTAATTGTTTTGTTCTT